GCTATGTAGTATACACGCGTAAAGAACAATCAGGCAATCATCTTGGAATTTTGGAAGAATTAGTTCTTTAAAAAACGCAACGATTCCGCAATAAAGGGAAGTTTTCAAAACGATAAACATACATTCGAACCGCCACCGTAACAGCTTAGCTGTCTTTAAATAATTTCCTGCTAAAAGTTGTTTCAGGCGTTCAGGAACTAAAACGGAAGTCTAAAACGGGGCCTTGGGTTGGGTCGGTTTACTTCGCAACCTGACCCAAACCTCTCTCGTCTTTTTTACCCCAATACCCCTTTATAGTTCACCACTAAATTTTCTCCAATTCTTATTGGTTTAAATCGATCGCGTGATGCGATAGTGTTCATCCGTGGAGAGACACTATCAGCCCATAGTGCCCGCCCGCAGAAAACACCCGGATGGATAGTGCCCGTTCGCAGAAAATACCTGGATTGATAGTACTCATCCGAGAAAAGTTTTGAATAGTTTGACGGCCACGAAGCTAGGCAGATCGAAAAAAACAGACTTTTCAATTCTGACAGGTATAACGTATTATTTAGCAATAAAAACAATAGAGTGTTTATGTCTCGGAACTATCGGTCTGATAGTTGCCCCTTGGAAATTTGATGTTCTTAAAACTAGCATATTTGTTTTAAGAACATCAAATTTCCACAGGGCAACTATCAGCCAATAGTTGCTCGACAGAAACACTCTATTGTTTAATTAGCGCAGTTTACTATCGCGATTCGTTTTACTAAGTGAACGACTGGAACACATCTTTTACGTGGTGAGCTAGTGGCAGTGATACTCCCTTACACTGAGAGAGTTCTAACTCCAGAGAACTGAGATGGCAAAATTGTAACACAGTGTTGCACAGAATTTATCGTTGTTTCAAGGGGCTATGAAACCAAAAGAAGGCTTACCAAACAGACATTGCTGATAACAGAAGTTGTTAGGAGGTAATCTGCTAATACTATCACCTTAAACAAGATTTTTAGGGCTTAATATTGTATTTGCTTTCTCAGAAACTGCATTGTCTCTAAAGTGAAAAAAAAAATAATAATAATAATAAAAACAGGAAAAGAGTGCTCTCAATTGTCTGGTTTTGTAGCTTTCAGTGCTCCTCAAGCATAAATGTTCTAATAATAGAAGCATGAACTGAATTACATCATTATTCATGAGTGTTGCTTAACATTAACATGATCTTTGAAATAACAATGTATTCAAATTTCTCATCCACACTAAAAAATGTTTACATGTAAGTATCAGATATAATAAATACTTGTCACCTGCCAACCAGTAGCGTTGTCAAGAGTATGACGTTTTCTAAAAGTTAAATATGCTATCTTGGGAATATTTAACTTAATTATCTTAACATTTCCAAGCTCCCTTTGAAACGTTTCCTTGCTATTGCCTCTTGTGCACACAAAGGCAACTGTTATGTCAACCTCAAAAGATCCTTTGCCATGACTTACAGTTTCATCCGTTTCTATTCTGAGTTTTACTTTCTGTATATTCGCTGATAAAATATCTTTCATCGAGACCTCTTCCTTTACTGTTTTATCATCTTTCATACTCATCAGTGTGTCTATTAGTTCATTAGACACTATCCCCTGCAATTGGCTGTACTGTTCCTTGTTCAGTAGCTGAGATACCACACACAAAGCTTGCTTGGCGCCCTTGAGAAATTCATTTTCATCGAATTCCTCATCCACTATGGTCTTTAGTAAAAATAGCTTCAAATTCTTTGCAATCCAACCAAAAGGTCCTTGATTGAGGGATACAATAGCGGGTTTTACTTCATCATGATCCCCATTTCCATCTTCATCACCAGAAAAATCTTCATCTTTTTTCGAGCACATTGTTCTTGTAATACGCAAAGGAAAAGCAAATGGTGGTCTTAGAACCGAAGAAATGGTTCCACAATTTGAAGTTAATGCTTTAGACCGAGAGTGAACCTCACTGAAGGGAAGTTTTCGGAATGTGAAACGAATTCGTCTAAGGCACGTTTGAGCCGCCATCTTGGCAGGAGAAAACGCCAGGTTTTTCAGCTCGAATGGAGAGGTCACCCAGCAAAAGTTTATTTTTAAAGCACTACGTAATGTAAACCGAAATGCCGGTCACTTTTCAGTCATGTGAGTTGTGTGTAGGCTGAATATAAAAGCGAAAGAAGCAAATGTTCTCTGATTCTACCCGCGCATCTAGCACGCTAATGCAGTTCAGCTGACGGTGTAAGAACTTCTGATTTTGTGGTAAGTGTTTTATCTTCATGCAAATTACGACCAGGTTTTTACGAATTCTCACGCGATTGCATGCATACCTCTAACTCGTGGAAATTGGAAGACCATCGTTACGTTACGTAAGTGGCCGCATGATTTTGTCAGTTTTGTGAGATTCATTCCTGTTTAGTTTGCGCTGACTCATCAGATTATAGTTTTGTAGCAGAGACCGTAGCTTGGTAAATTACATTCGCCTTCCCCTTTTAGATTAAAAACTGCTCTTCTTTACCCTTGCCTCTCATCGTATGTAATCGTGCAAAATGCGATCGATTATTTTTAAATTGATTTCTGCTAGTTCGCAATTTCACCTGAAAATTGGATGAGAGGTTTCAATGCTCCATTTTTGGAAGATACCAATTGCTGACCCAAAATCGTTAGGTTTTAAGGAGCAACTTCAGAATACCCGTCCACATCATTTACATGTGTCGGGAGGCTTTGAAGAATAAACCAGAAGTAAGATTAAAGACACCCGAAAAAACATGCTAGAAAACTGGCAATAAAAATTAATGGAAACTTGTAGTAAAAGGGTTGAACTTTAACGTGGCTACCATGGTTTTTCCTGCTAAAACGGCAATGACGTAACGTGCAAACCACCAATAAATAGTATTTAAATGTAGGAAGGGGTTGCCCAATCTTCTGAGCTGGTGGCTCATGTTAAAAACACTCAACTCCAGATCGATCGAATTGAAATTTGGAATGTTGGTTTTTGCGGAGGAAGGAAAACTGAAGCACCCAGAGAAAAACCCTTGCATTAAGGACGAGAACCAACAACAAACTCAACCCACATGTGATGGCAGGTACGGGAATCGAACCCGGGCCACAGTGGTGGAAGGCAAGCACTCTCACCACTCCACCATTCCAACTCCCTCTGTGAATAAACTAATTGTAATTGCAATTTAAAGAGTGGAAGGGTTAAAGCTAACCATTGAACTCCCGGAAGTGACTAGCATCTAATTTCTCCTCACGATGCCACCCCTAAATCACATATAAAGGCCATGAGAATAAAGAAAATGATCGCAAACTAAAAGAAGCTCTTGATTGTTGAACAAATTCTCCTTGTCAGCACCTTAGGAAATGTATAGAGAACAGTATGGAGAATATGCATACTGATGTTAGGGTGTAATGGGTTTAGAAAAACTGAAAAATACCCAAACACCTTCATGAAAATTAACTTTGCTTTGATGTATTATCTTTTCATCAACAGGGATATTTTACTTAACTAGGCAATCAGCAGCAAGATGGGAAAAGGAAAGCAATTTTTGCTGTTATTGTGGAAGAATATTATCCTTCTCAAGAGATCTCCAGTGCGAGCATTCTTTCAAATTTCGATGCCACTCTTTTTTATCATAATCCTTGTCCTTCTGAGAGCATTTGTCATCAAAGTGGAAAATAAAAGAAGCAATACCTATCCTGCATTTGATATTGATAAATTACCGTCCAATGTCACTGAAACAAAACTGGCATTTACTCCTAACACGAGTGATGTCAGAAATATTATGGATTTAGTTGCAAAACAACTGAAGCGTCTAGCTGTTGTTGGATTCCAAAATGAGAAAGAAATGCAAACATTTTTAGTGGATAATGAAGAGAGGAATAAAGATGGAAAAAGGATATTCCTAGGTGGAATTGTCTTCAATAACACCCTCTACTCCAGAAATATTATTTATAAAATTCGTCTAAGTTCCAAAGCAAGGAAGAAAGAGAAAACACCATTTGGAGCATCTCCTGCAACATCCTGGCTCACTCAATTTACATTTCCAGTGTTTCAGAAACCAGGACCTCGGAATGAAGGTAGCCGTTATGGTGGCCCTCCATCATATTATGATGAAGGATTTCTATCTCTTCAACATGCTGTGGATTCTGCAATTGTCAAGCACAAAGGAAACATTCAGACTCTGAACAATGTAACAGTGTCAGTCAAACGATTTCCTTCTCCTGCTTACATTCATGATGAATTTGTGTTGGTCATACAAAGCTCTCTACCCTTACTTTTGATGTTGTCTCTGATATTCACGGCCCTAAACATTGTACAAGATATTGTTTATGAAAAGGAGAAGAAACTGAAGGTGAGCTAACCAATACATAGCTTTTTTAGCATTTGAATTATTTTAATACATACAGTGATGAAAAATAATCATAAAATTCAATCATGCAAGGTCTGAATAGCAAATTTTTAAAGTGAAAATTATGATAAGTTACAACTCTAGTGTTGCAAAAATGTTTTTCCATTTATGTGCTCCTTTGTCTAATTCTCTTACCGGTACTTTCTTTTTGACACTTTCCAGTATTTTTACCTCAGCCCCTTTGTTCCCAAGATCTCATTCCTAATTCTTCTTACTGTTTGCCATACTATTCCTATAATGTTAGTTAAGAGAATTTATTATTGGATCAACAAATGATCCCCAAATTGCCACTTTTCTATATTCTCATTACTTGTCTGCTTGATATGGTGTTGCTCTTGTAAGGAGAAATTCTGTCTTGGTCACTTATGAAGTGAAAGGGTTAATTAACTTATTGTTAATATCATTTTGTCAACAGGAGTCAATGAAGATGATGGGTCTAAATGGTTGGCTCCATTGGTTGGCTTGGTTTACAAAGTACTTCATATTCCTTTTAATCACCATGGCCTTAGCAGCTGTTTTCTTCACTGTAAAGTTCACTGATAGGGGTCGTGTCCTGAACGAAAGCTCACGCTCTGTAATATTTGTTTTCTTTCTTCTGTATGCAATATCAACTATCATGTTCTGTTTCTGCATCAGTGTCTTCTTCTCCAGAGCAAACATTGCTGCAGCTGCAAGTGGGATCCTGTGGTTCTTGAGCTATATCCCTTATTTCTTTGTCCAACAGTCTTACGACACAATGGGCTTGGGCAGTAAGCTGGCAAGCTGCCTCCTTTCAAACGTTGCCATGTCCATGGGTGCTCAGTTGATTGGGAAATTTGAAGGGGAGGGTACTGGGGTTCAGTGGTCAAATATCAATCACGGGCCTTCCATTGATGATGATCTTACACTTGGCTATGTCTTTGGGATGTTTGTAGTGGATTCAATTGTCTATGGTTTGATAGCTTGGTATGTTGAAGCAGTATTTCCTGGCAATTATGGGGTTCCACAACCTTGGTACTTCCCTGTTTTAGCCAGTTACTGGTGTGGAAAGAACAAAGAGGTTAGAACTGTCTTATTTATCAAATCTAAAGAGTATCAACTTAACTTTATAGTTAGGCAGCTGGAATTATTAAGTAGATATATTTACGTGAGATTTTGTTGTACATGGTAGCGAGTATGAGAAATTGTTATTTCATTCATTTTGACCTTATTTGTTGATTCACTAATGAAGAAATAGTCAAGCTGTGCTGTGTAACACATTTTCCTGAGGCAAATATTTTTAAAGTTTGTGTAATCATCAAAGTTGGAACCTACAAACCACATCCACCAATTTAGCATTCACAGTTGTTTTACTTCCAACTCTGTTGCAGGTGGAAGTAGGCGATTTTCACAATTTACAAAATGGCACCTGTCATGCAACAACTGCTCCTGAGTACATAGAAAAAGATCCAGTTGGTTTGGAGCCAGGGGTTGAAATACGAAACCTGAAGAAAGTTTTCTCCACTGAGAAAGGTCTTTAAAAGCTTCAGTCAAATGTACTTTGTACTTTTTTGTAAGATATTAAGCAGTTCTTATCAATAAAACAGTCTCCTTTTCTTTATGGCTTTCTTCATCGATATGGCTGTGGAACCAGGGTATATCACAGTCTTATAGCTGTAGAATTGTTGGCTCTTCCTTGTATATTAAGTTTGATCCATAGTAACTGAGGAGTGTGTTTGTCTGTGTGCAGTTGTTCCAGTTAGTTGATATTTTCATTTTGACGAGTTATAGTAATTGATTATTACTTTACAGAAACTCAGTGTCTCAGAGAGATCCCAAGGCTTTTTTTTTTTTCATTATGATGCACTTTTATGGGTCCTCAAGGTGTTCATGTTGGGAAGAATTGGTTGAGGGTTGTGATTTTTGTACAAACCTGTTACAAATGGCTGTATCTAATTAATTAAAAGAATGCATGGAAAAATGCCTTTAGTGACTACTGATTAACTGTTAGATTCTCCCAAAACTTGGCTTGAATTCCCTTATGAAACACACAGAGAATTTGATCTTTCATCAAAAGTTGCTTCCCAGGTTAGGGCCTCATTCCATGCACTTCTTTTGATATAACACTTTACTATAATTACCACAGTTTTTTCTTCCACTTCTGTAGGAGTGAAAACAGCTGTCAATGGAGTGTCTCTGAACTTGTATGAGGGGCAGATAACTGTCCTTCTTGGGCACAATGGGGCTGGTAAAACAACACTGATGTCCATGCTAACTGGACTATTTCCTGCTACTTCTGGCTCTGCACTTGTCAATGGCTGTTCCATCAGAGATAACATTAGTGGAGTACGCAGCAGTCTGGGTGAGATATTGTTTTCTAAAACTTGGAAGGTGATAAACTAAGAAGGTGATAAACTTTTTTATTTTGGTTCTGGTGCATCCATTGCCATGTGAACTGATCAATTGCAATTAAAAGTTTCTGAGATATGCAAGAAATCCAATCACCATGATTGCCATCTTCAGCTTAGATTTCTTACAACCACTCATCTTTTTCCCAGAACAAAATAACATTTAATAATATGAAAAATTTCAGTGAGTGCTGCTGATTTTCTCTGTTTTTCAGTGATTCTAGACCATTCCACAGTTTGACTTTCTGTATTACTCAGACCCCTTTAGTTGTCCTGAGTATAGTAAAGAATGTCAAAGATAAACAAGGATTTTAAAAGATGTACTCCAAAAATCTGGGCTAGTCTCTTTTGAAGATATAAAAACTCTCATGTAAATCTTTAATTCCTCTAATTCTTTTCTTATTCAGGCTCCTGTAGGACTTTTCCCCAAAAACTTCTGTTTGCAATGCTATACATTATTTTGCTTTTCATGTTTGTATTTGAAGGCTATTGGTTAGTAGATGGTTAAAGGGGATGATCAAATGAAATGTTATGGGTTTTTGTGAGAACAACATAGCATGTTCGCACTTATTTGATAGTGCTGTAATAGGATAGGATATGTGTGAGACCACCCAGAGTGTCAAAGGACTTTGTTCGGTCAAGAATCTATCCGAACCTACCAGAATATATCAGATGGGTTTCAACCATGGGTTTCAATCTACAATTTGCTTAAAGCACATGCAAACCTGAGTTCACCCTTAAACTCCCCGAAGTGATTGACATGTAACTTCTCCTAATATCTGTATATGATATCCATATATTATCCAGCAAACAGGTAATGAGAATACTCAAACTTGTCAAGTATAAGTTGTTATCTTGACCTAACATGAAATTCTCATCACTTGCTTGCAAGGAAATATCTGGAAGTTGGAAAGGAGAATTAACAATCATATCATGGGAGTTAAAGGTTAATCATCTGACTTGCTGGAGAGTGACACTAGAATACTTGACCAGCCAAAATGCATTGTAAAGCAAAAGTAGTGATATTCTAGTTCACTTTGTTTGATTTTCTTAGTCTTGCTCCTTTACTTCTAAATATGTTTAGACATAGTTCTGTCACTTAACTTATCTCCAGGTCTGTGTCCCCAGCATGATGTGTTGTTTGATCGTTTAACTGTTGAGGAGCACCTGTGGTTCTTTGCCAAGCTCAAGAGCTGCTCATCCAGCCAGGCAAAAGGAGAGGTTGATAGGATGATAGAGTGCATTGGTCTGACCGACAAAAGACAAACACAGGCCCGTGCACTGTCTGGGGGCATGAAAAGGAAACTCTCAGTTGGGATAGCACTGATTGGTGGCTCCAAGGTTAGTTACTGTTACCCCCATAGAATGGCTGACACAAGAAAAAAATTTTTTTTTTGGTTTTTCTTCTTCATTGTACAGTTTGGAAATCAGGCAAGACACTTTACCCTCACGGTGCCTCTCTTCACTTAGTGTTTAAATGGGTGCAGGCGAAATTAATGCTGGGGGGTAACCCTGTGTCGGACTAGCATCCCCTCCAGGGGGGAGTAGAAATACTCCCAGTCGCTTCATGCTACAGAAATCTTAGTAAAACGCCGTTCTGATGGGTCTGATGGATCACTTGGCACGTAAACAGACTTTACCTTTAAAGTTTGGAAATATGCAAATTTTTACTTGCTTGTAGGTGGTGATGTTAGATGAACCAACATCTGGTATGGATCCGTCAGCGCGTAGGTTCACATGGGATTTACTGCAGCAGCATAAGGAAGGCAGGACCATCCTACTCACCACTCACTTTATGGACGAGGCAGACATTCTGGGTGATAGGATCGCTATCATGGCTGAAGGAAATGTCAAATGTTGTGGCTCCTCTCTGTTTCTCAAGAACAAATATGGAGTGGGCTATCACATGGTCATTGTAAAGGAGCCCTCTTGCGACGTCCCTAAGGTCACTGGTGTGGTCGCTAGTCACGTGCCTACAGCCACTGTTGAGAGTAACATTGGTGAGTTTTTATTCTTTTTGTTTAGTTCTCATTTGATTGGTCGCACTACAAGATCTCATCCCCAGGCGTAAAATTACGATGAAATTTTACTTGAATCCTCACACACTCCTGTTTTATTCTCAAATACCTTCTCATTCATCAATGATTTTTTTTTTTTATAGTTATTGAACGCCTTTGTTGACCTATGATCTTATTTTCTTTTCAGGAGCCGAATTGTCTTTTATTTTGCCAAGTGAAGCCACAGGCAACTTTGAGAATCTCTTTCTGGAGTTGGAAACCCGCCGCAAAGAACTTGGAATCGCCAGTTATGGTGCTTCGGTTACAACTATGGAGGAAGTTTTCCTCAAGGTTGGAGAGGAAATGGACAGCAGTCTCAGCGATAAACTTCAGCAGACTAGCAAAGGTTAGAAATCTTTCGAGGATAAAAATAACTTCATAACAAAACATCAAACAGTTTTAATTTTGTTTTCAAGTTCCTAGTCACTTTTGCAATCACCTCACAAAGAAAGGCTGTCGTTTACCTTTCTGTTTGGTTGTTTGTTTCTATTTTTGTTGAACTTTTGAAATATCTCGATCAGTGTAACCAAGTAGAGCCTGAATAGTTACGAGAACATAACGTGTTGCCAACCAATCACGAACACATAGCACGTGTCGAATAATTATTCTCGTAGACAATTATTTAACGTGTTTATTCGATGACTCGTATTCACAACTATGCTTAATCATAAACGTCCTTTGAACTCTATACAAACAAAACAGAAACAAAACCCCATGGGAGCTAATAAGTTACACGACAGCACGTTACTAACCAATCACGAGTGCGTAACAAGCTACTTGGGATTCATTTTCCTGTGCTTGGTTTCCCGCCAACACTCGTTTTCCCGCGTTTGACCAGTGTCACACATTCATGTGCATTAAACCTCCGTCGCGTATTTATTCCTTACTCTTTGTAGTCTCCACGCACCTGTTCTTTAGGAGGTTGCCCTTAGCGTTGCGTGATATCTCTAAACTCGGCTGCGAAGGAGCTCACACTTTCTCTGTAAATTGTTATTTCTTTTCTTCTTTTTATTATGAAGTCCTTAGAGTCATTTACTGTCATCGTGTTTTTTGTATCTGCGGTTACATAGTTGCCATCTTTTTAGGAACACCCTCAGCTAACGGTGTGCTGGAGAGTACAGCTTTGCCTGTTCCAAGCGAGAAATCCTCCGTCTTGGCACGAATGGGTACGTTTGGAACATCCTCGGCCAGCTATGGCACATTTGGTGACTACAACAATTACAATCACACGTCCGGTTTCCGGCTGTTTCGTCAGCGGTGGTACGCAATGTTTGTGAAGCGTCTTTTGCACTCCAAGCGCCATAAGCTGGCTATCATATCTCAGCTTCTACTACCTCTGGTATATACGCTGTTTGCTCTGATCAGTGCCAAGACCATTCCTCAGCCCACGGATTCCCCTCCACTCGCTCTATCGACGCTCAACTTCTTGAACAACGACGTTCCTTACTATTGCGTAAACAGGTACATTATTTTTGGATTCAGTAGAGCGTTAAGCTTATTTCGTATTGATTTTACCATTTTGAGTTTTGACTGTGGGACGTTTCATTATGAAATACTTGGTTACGGAATCGTTAAACTGCTATTGGCCAGTAGGGTTTTCCGCCAATCAAAAGCAAGCTTCAGAGCCAGAGCGTCATTCTATTGAGTTTTTGTTGAACCAAAACCAAAGTAATCAGGACAGCGAACCAAAACTTATTAGTTGACGAATTTTAAAGTAAAAACAAGCCGACTGTTTGGAGCGCGAAAAACGCGAAAGAACGCATCATTATTGGTGTTCGTTTTGTATCTTACTGTTTGAGGGAGAAGATGAAGCGATCGTACGCTCTTACTATTTCGCATACTTTCAAACATTTGGAGGCATATCTAGATGCTAATTAGATTGACTTATTTTATATTATTATTTTTTTTTGTATCTATTTAGCACTTGCAACTTGGCAGATAACTACACAACTCAGTGGCCTGGTGGGAGTAAGACAAAACCTGTGAATGTCAAAGTTGATATGGGACAGTACCTGTTGGATGAGCCGAAGAAAATAGGAGTTGGCCCCTTTAACAAAAGAGACCTGATTGCAGCCACTTTCAAGAAACAGGAGGATAAAGGTTAATTTTTCTGAAGAGTAGTTAAAAATGACAATTGCAGCCGGTGAAAAAGACATTCGTCAAAAATTTAACCTCGGCTTACGGCTGCCTTTTTAATCTGACGGCAAAATAGTTGTGATAAAGCGATCCCTAAATATTGCACTGTGCGTCGGTCAGTCGGTCCTTTTTACAATAATATTATTGACTGAGTAGGATAATATTTGGCTCGAGGTCATGACGTATGGAAGAGCGCAGCGAGGTCCGTGCTTCATGAACGGGAGCCAAATATTTTCCCGCCCGGACCGACCAAACTAAATCCAGTTCATAAGCATTTCATTATAGGACCCTATGAAATTTTGAAAATTTTGTTTCAACCTAAATAGGACGCGATAGACGGGCGAAAAAAAACTATCCTTTGTGTTTTTCGAGTCAGAACAAGAAACTTACGATTCATTGAAAAACACAAATTTCTTTGTTCTTCTATGTTTTTACAAGAAAGCTGTAGAAGTGCACTAGGGCCGGACGGCTTTTTCCGAACCGGCTTACGTCAACTTGTCTGGCCTTACACAAGTCGGCTTTCAATATGGTTTTCTATGGGACTGCGCGTACGGCGCCCCACGGGTCGCATGATAATATCTCTATGAAGCTTACTTGGTTTACTCTCTCTCCCCCCTTAGTGAACGTCACTGCGTGGTTCAATAACCAAGCATACCATTCCATCGCCGTGTCTCTAGCAGCTGCCGACAATGCCATCTTAAGGGCTACTCTGGGCAGCAACTACTCACTAATGACTGTTAATCACCCGCTGCCAAGAACTGCTAAAGAATCTGCCAATGATTTACAGCGGTAAGGATTGATGCATTTTGGCAGTTTTGTCAGTAGGTCTCAAAGTATATGATTTTTATTTTTCATTTCTTCACAATTTAACCTGGATCGGTATGTCAAATCCCGGGAGAAGAAATTCTGTTAACATAAACTTCAGATTCTGGAAAAAAAAAAATTGCGCACCTGATTGGCTGAAAACGAGTGCATTTGTCATGTAAAAGTGTACATGAAGAAATTACGCGCGTCTGATTGGCCGAAAAGGAGTGTATTTTTTGTGTAACACAAGTGAAAATTACAAATATCGTGTATATCAGTATAATGATATGATTTCGAGGGCAATTTGATGTTAATAAGGACGAGTAAATTTTCAACTGCGAGTGCAATTTGTAGTCTTTGAAACTGTTCAAGTGCTTATGTAGACCAAATTGTTTGAGAAATCATGTTGTTACTTGTTAATGACTTGCATGAAAAAGCAACACAGAAAGTCAAGACAGACGTGCTTTTTGTAATTTTCACCCGTGGTACAACTTTGCGCTTGTGTTACATGAAAAATGCACTCGTTTTCAGCCAATCAGACACGCGGATTTTTTCGTGTATATTTGCCTTTACTTACACGTGTGCAAAGTTGTAACACGAGTCCAAATTACAAACAGCGCGCACGCTGTCAAAATTTTGTCTGCCTAGACTAAACCCTCCTACTCATTAGATTTATTATTGTTGTCATGAAAAGTTTTTGTTTCTAAGTAGTCTACCTCGACGTCTTTATTTTAGCAACGGCCTCGGGTTCAATGTCGCAATCAACATTCTGTTTGGTATGGCTTTCCTGGCTTCGAGTTTCGTTGTGTTTCTTGTCCAAGAACGATCCAATAAAGCGAAACACGTTCAGTTTGTCAGCGGTGTGGACCCATTTAGCTACTGGGATTCTGCGTATACGTGGGACTTGATTAACTTCCTCCTCCCAACCCTCTCTATTATGATCCTCGTGGCTGCCTTTGACGTGCCAGCCTATACAGGTTTGTTATGAGCTCTAGTGCTTTGACATTAGTTTTTGATGGACTTACCAGTACTTGAAGTGAACAGAAACCAAACTTGACTCACTTCAATTAACCGAGGAATGAAACATTGCAATGAATCTACCATAATCTTGGGCCTGGTTGTATAAAGGACGGATAACGCCATCCAACGGATAAATCGAAGTTCAGGATAGGTGATAAAAAACGTGCTGTGTTATCCACTGGATGAAGATTTACCCAGTGGATTGTGTTATCTAACCTTCGAGCAACCGGGGCCTGGCCGAAGCCGTCAAAAAGTCAGCGGTGTTTTGCGTACACGCTTGTGCGAACGTTTTGTTGAATAGGTGGCGTGCTTTCAGGCTATCAGAGCCAAGCTGTTTCGCATGAGTTATAAACAAACATACAAGCGAGTACGTCACGGTGTTTTAAAAGCATATAAAATTTTTGGTAGAGCCTAAAGTAGAGTGTTAAATCAACAGGATACTATGCTTGAAAAAGCTTTGTATTCGAACAAAGTCTTCAATCAATCAATCAAGTTCATTGTCTTTCCGTGAGGCATGGTTACCCAGTTGCCCGAGCCAGAGGCTCATATATGAAACGTAAGACAGCAACCCACCCATCCCACCCCAGGGGAGGACATC